GAAACAAAATTTGTAAGGCAAAAATGTTGCAGATAGGATTTTAAGAGTGGGCACAATCCTGACCACGTCAGTGTTTGTTTGTTTTCTGGGTGATTTGATAAGAGCAGGTAATTGCAAAATTACCATATTTTTTTTGGAGTATAAGACGCACTTCCCTCCCCCCCTAAAAGTGGCTGAAAATTTGGGTGCATCTTATACTCCGAATGTGGCTTTTTCGAAGCTTTTTTCTCAGCCCTAATGAGGCGCTAATGAGTGAAGCGATCTTTTGTGTTTGCCTGCTTTTCTCATTGCTTCCCTCTCCGACGATCAGCTGTGCTTTAGAAGCTGTTTTTTTATCCCCAGTCGGGATAAAAAGCACGCTCAAAACCAGCAAACCTTTGTGCTGGAGAACAACAAAGATGATGAGGAGACTGGAGGCTAAAATACGAAGAATGGTTGCAGGAACTGGGTATGTCTAGTTTGATGCAAAGAAGGACTAGGGGAGACATGATAGAAGTGTTTCGATTTCTCAGGGGCTGCCACAAAGAAGAAGGAGTCAAACTATTCTCCAAAGCCCCTGAGGGTAAAACAAGAAGCAATGGGTGGAAACTAATCAAGGAGAGAAGCAACTTAGAACTAAAAAAAAAAATTCCCTGACAGTTAGAACAATTAATCAGTGGAACAACTTGTTGTGAATTCTCCAACACTGAAGAAGATGTTGGATAACCATTTGTCTGAAATGGTATAGGGTTTCCTGCCTAGGCAGTGGGTTGGACTAGAAGACCTCCAGGGTCTCTTCCAACTCTGTTACTCTGTTCTAGGCTAACTAAGGATGCTAGCCAGAGGAATACCTGGTAGGCAGAATTCACTCCCCCCCCCTATTTTCCTCCCCAAAAACTAAGGTGTGTCTTATAGTCTGAAAAATATGGTAAATCTGCTTTCCTTCAGCTGGGTTGGCTTCCTCTGTTGCTTTCTTTCCTTTTGTTGTCTTCTCTCTTTTTCCCTTCAAAATTGGGATATTCTACTGAAAATCTAAGAACCTTCCCTTTGCCATAGTGTTTTTGGAAATATTTGATGCATGTTGGCAGAATTGTCCCACAACTTGGCGAAGGAAGGTGAAGGGATGTCCTCTCTAACATAGCTAGTTGGGTCTCACTCATTCCCCCCCGAATTCATCCCCAAATCTAAAACTATTTATATAATCTATACTAGTCTCCCTTTATTTATTTATCAGCACAAATACAACACACAAACACACACACACATATACATACATACATACATACATACATACATACATACATACATACATTTTGGAACAATCAAATCAGATGTTTTTGGAACCATTCATATCAACCCATAACAACTGACAATTCAACAGTTCCATGTTGGAACTGTTGAACCAATTCTACCGCTCTTAAAATGCTACGTCTGTCTTCACCTTTGAAATATACACATGGGTTGATTCCGAAGATCTCAAAAATGGTACCGCAGGGCTCCGTTTTTACATCTCCAGAGCTTGGCCTGGTTTTCTGATTGGCTTGGTCTGGGTCCTGCCCCCCCAAAGAGCAGCAAAAGGGTTGAAGATCATCCATTTAAAAACACCTCCCTCTCTCAGCTGCTCATGAAAAGGGTGACCTTGAAAGATACCAGCTTCCATACATCAATGTAGGGATGCAGAGGAACCCGTAGAATGGTTCCAATCGAAGCTGTTCAGCTCGTTTTCCAAAGCTGGAGAAAATAATAATAAGGGGAGACCGCAAGGGAAAGTCAGGAGCTCTTCAAAAACGAAAAAAGGCGTTTGACTAAAAAATGTGGGAACCTGGAACTTGATCCATCTTGGACAATTTGTTGGCCAGTGGGGCAGAAGGTAAGAGGATGGGGAAGAGATGGATGGAGCTGAAGAAGGCTCTTGGGGGTAGACCATCAATGGACAAGATTCGTGTCTACTTTGGCAAGACACCGCAGTAAGGTTGGGTTAAGGTCCTTTGATGTGTTGCAGGTTCCTCAAGGTTCTAGAATTCTGGGAGGTGTTTTCTTTTTCTATCCTGCTATCTTGTGGGGGGGAGGGGGTTTTCTGAATGAGGAGCACCCAGAAATTTGCCATTCGCTCCTGGTAATCACTAAGCCTTGGGCTGCCAAGTATACAGTGTCATCTGAACGATGGGATCGGAAGGACCGACCTTCCCCATTCCGCCCTCCCCGTTCATTTTCCTGTGAGTCAAATCCACATTCTTTGCTTTTCCCTTTTCTGCTTCTGAATTTATTTCTTCCCTTCCACCTCCTTTCTCCGTTACGGTTTTCTTTTTTCCCCCTCTTCCCACTGCCCTCACCCACTCCGATGAGCAGAAAAATCTGTACCTCTAAGAGAGTCTTTTTAAAAACGACCTGTTCTGAAGAACAGGAGGAGGAAGAATGGGAGGGGGAGGAAGAAAGGAAGGAAGGAAGGAAGGAAGGAAGGAAGGAAGGAAGGAAGGAAGGATGATTATAGCATGCTGGCAGGGAGAAATTTTGAAAGTTGAAGTCCACGCATCTTAAAGGCACCAAGGTTGAGAAACATTGATCTGGTAGATGTTAGACTGAATAAGATTTGGCTCAGGTGCCTAGAGATGTCTTCGTAACTCAACCATTTTAAGAAGATGGGGTTTTAACTCAGTTTCCAAAGTTAAAGTCCCTTAGGGAGATAGATGTGTTGCCAGCACTTTCATAGCTGCCTTCTTCGAGTTCACAAGATGCCACCTTTCCTTGTTACCCTTGAAGTGTCACCCTGAGCGAGTCGGTCAACCACGCTAAGAGAAGAAGGAAAGCCAAGCTGGATCCCAGCCTTGGTTTGAGAGAGGAGAGGAGGACAAGAATGGGAAGCTCCATCTCTGCGTGTTCCCCTCCATCGTTTTTTAAAACTCATCCCGTAGCTTGCCATTTCCCATCCCTTTTCTAACCTGCAGAATTCACTAGATGCTTGGCAGCACATGGAATCCTATAGTGATGCCCTTTTGGGGAACATCCGTCCGTGGAGCGAGGGATCCAGAAAAAAAAGAAAGAAAAGAGAACTCACTTCTCACTCTCTCTGTTTACCTTGTGTTTTTTCTCTTCTTCTTTTCTTTCTCTTCTCTCTCTCTCTCTCTCTTGGACTCTCTCCCCTCCTTCCGTCGGCTTCACGCCTTCCTTCCCTCCTCATCGCTTCTTCTCCTTCCCTCCCACCCACCTTCCCTCGCTCCTTTTCATCGTGCAGAACGGGCCTCTTCACGCCTGACCTCGCTTTTGAAGCCATAGTGAAAAAGCAAATGCAAAAACTGAAGGAGCCCTGTTTGAAGTGTGTGGACATGGTAGTGAGTGAACTCACGTCCACCATCAGGAAGTGTAGCAACAAGGTAAAAGACTCCTGCCATGGAGGGAGAGCTACTTCCCTACCCCCTCCGTAAACAAACAAACAAACAAAAAAGCAATGCCATTTTGCGGGCACGTGGGGTCACGTAGACAGAGGAACCCACTAAAAGTGCGCCTTTTTGGGATTAGACAACAGTTGAAGGAAGGCGAACAAGGAGATTCCATGAGGTGGTTCTCTCCATTAGAGTAGGACAGTGGTTCCCAAACTTGGCAACTTTAAGACTTGTGGACTTCAATTCCCAGAATTCTCCAGCCAGCAGAGCTGGCTGGAGAATTCTGGGAGTTGAAGTCCACAAGTCTTAAAGTTGCCAAGTTTGGGAACCACTGGAGTAGGANGTGCTATTGTATCTTCTTTTAAATAGCAGAGAATAACGTATACTTCCAGAAAGCCACATCAATTTTAACAGCATCTGTACAAGTATAGTTTGACATGTAACACCACCAACAGTGCATATTGTCTGTGCTGTTTGCTGTTTGTTGCAAGGAGGCAAATTGCTGGGAGGCAGAGGCAGATATTTTTCCCCTTGTTTTTCTTCCCAAAAGTTAGCTGCGTCTTCTACTCTGAAAAATAGGGGTAGTTGTCCTTCTGGGCTTCACGTCTCCCTCAAGGGGCAGAAAGGGACTTTCTGCATAATAGGCAGCCCCCCCCCTTTTTTGCAATGCGATGACGTTCTCCTCGCCCTATCTCCTTCCGCCCTTGTCCTCCTCTAACCACCACTACCCCCGCGTGCGTAGAACTGGTCTCTTCACCCCCGACATGGCTTTTGAGACCATTGTGAAGAAGCAAGTCAAGAAGATTAAGGAACCTTGCTTGAAATGTGTGGACATGGTCATTTCGGAGTTAATCAGTACGGTTAGACAGTGCACCAAGAAGGTAAACCCGGGGAAAAAAGGGGAGCATGGGAACTCCGAAATGCTTGTGACTCACCCCCCCCCAGCTGAAGCACAGCATTTCCGATCTGGGGTGGGCGGGGGGGCTGATCCCTGTCGTTTTCTTCTGGGTTTCCCATCTTCACAGCATGGCTAGGCCTGAGGGAACCCTGCTTGATGTTTCCTAGCCAATCAGAAAGCCACGGGCCGACGCTTAAGAGGGTAAAACCCGGGCTTCAAATGGTTCTCCGATCTACGTTTTTGGGGTCGGAGGACGGAGAAGGTGGAATAATTGCTTTCTATTCGCATTAGAGTTGTCGTTGTGGGTTTGTTTGGTCCTCCAAAGGAACAAAAAATGGCCACCTTCCCTTTTGGCTGCCCAATGTTTTCATTTAATGCTCAGGAGACCGACAGTTTGGTGAAACAAAATTTGTAAGGCAAAAATGTTGCAGATAGGATTTTAAGAGTGGGCACAATCCTGACCACGTCAGTGTTTGTTTGTTTTCTGGGTGATTTGATAAGAGCAGGTAATTGCAAAATTACCATATTTTTTT